CTGAGTTATGTGTAAAAGATTGTAAGGAAGGTTGTTAGCCCAAATTGAAAGATTTACATATAGGGGGCATCATGGTAATACTATAAATAAGAAAAAAAAATTGAATGTACTCATTTATGTCAGCTCCCTAGTGAGATGCTTCTAATAATGGTTAAGTAATTTAAAAATTGTAAACTCTAGGATGAACAGAACAGAAGAGACTAGAAGGTAATAGAATTGACAAAGTTTTAGAAAATCACATGCAAATAAATGAATGATAAACTGATTTAGCAGAATATAGAAAAACCAAAACCTACGGTCTTCAAGAAGCAATATGCAATTCAAGCTGTAGAATTCCAGAAGATACGCAGTACCTCATAGATTGCAGGGTAAGGACTTTAGTTGAAAGTCTATAAAAAGAGAAATAAGATTCTCAGTTCACTTCTCCCACCTGCATAGCCAGGCAACTGCCGCTGTAGGGAGACTAGAGATTCACATTCAGAAAAAGAATCAAACCCCAAGAACATAAGGGGATTTAGTGAAAGCCTGATATACCAATACGACACAATTCCCCACTGCTTTTTTCCTACTTAACTCCCAAAATGGGGTCCAGATTATATCCCTAGACAAAAGATTGGAGGATTCCCTCTAAAAAATACAAGTAGTCCCAGCAATGAGAGCTTCTGGGACTGATATGTTCCCCACAGAAAGAGCCCCTAGGCAGCAAAAACAGCCTATGTCTAGACTATCTGGTCAGCTTTATAAAGTCTCATTTGTAAAGATGAACCAACAACCAAGATTACTGGATGTTAAAGGAAAAATTTCTAACATTTGAATCTGAAACAAGAAAGAAGAAACCAAGAGGTAGCAAAAAATGGAGTAGAATATGACAAAATAGAAAATAATCAGAATTAGAGGATAAGAGTTTTCAAATTGGAAGGACTCACTTAGTCCCCAGCACAATGAATGAAAAAAGATCTGGGGTTAAAGAATAAAATATCCTAAATGCTTCTAGAAGGAAGAATCAACTCCTATACCAAGGGTCAGGGATCAGAACATTAGTCCAGTTCCTTCATTACCTTTTGCAAAGTTAAATAATAGTGAAACAAAACTTTAAAAATTCTGAAAAAATTATTTCAGCTTTGAATTGTGTACCTAGGTCAACAATCATTCACATGTGTGAATGGAATAAAGATATTTTTAAATATTCAGATGTCAAAAAAGATACCCCTTTTCCCAGACAGCTATTATGAAAGAGATTCTCTGCCAAGATGAGGCAATAACTCGAGAAAGAAGCCTTGACATCTAGGAAAGAACAGTTTCAATATAGACATCAAGTAAGCAGAATTTCCAGGATGATGGTAGAGGAAAGTTCTAGGAAGATAATAAAGCAGCAGTCAGTCCTGATTGGAGCAAAGAAAAGGAGTTCAGGAAATGTCTCCAAGAGAGGAAACGGACTTGATAGGTTACATGGTATATTTAGTCAGGTTAAGAAGGATTTTCAGGGTTTGTCGTGGTTTGAGGAGGATGTACTGATGGGTACATAGGTTCTCTATAAGCATCACTATCAACAAGATGCGCATGCGCTCTGCAGCAAGTGGGGAAAATGGCAATTAATCACTTTCGGAAAAACAAAAAAAAGCACAAGAAAGGAATAGTGTATTACATGACTGAGCAGTGAATTATTGTAGGGGTACTAAGGTGAACGCTGAAGTATTGATTTAAAACAAAAAGTATGTTATTGAATATATTGAGAGGATGAGGAGGGTAGAGTTAAGTCCTTACATTCTTCAAACAAAAGTCAGTAGAGAATATGTGGGTGGGGAGATAAAGTGAATTCTCATCTTTCACAGAAGGAGCACAGTAGATGGTGTTTGAAACTGGGGTGGGGGGAGAGTGAGAAATACTAATGTAAGCATATGGTTTAGAAATATGAAAAGAAGAAACATTAGAAGTGATACTAGTAAAGAGCAAAGAACTTTTGCCTTTTCAAAAGAGCCTATAGCACTTTAGACTTTTAAACAGTATGTGTACTTTATTAATAAAAAATTAGTAAACATGTGTTACATGTGTATCTCTTTATTTCTGTATGTTGAAAATCAAAAGTGTGACACAGTAGAAAGAATTCAGAGTTATTTAGAGCTTCTAGCCTGGGCTTTGTCCCTTATCAGCTCTGTGACATTGGGCAGGACACTTGTCTTACTGAGTCTTCTGTGAAAGGAAGGAGGTTGGAAAAGATGATCTCCAGAATCTTTTTAAGCTACCGTATCCTACAATTCAGTGATAAAAATAATAGTGCTAAGCAGCAAATGAAAAGTTAAGAGCTGGTTGGAGGCTTGAGAGTCCTGTGTTTTCTCTCTTCCTTTATTTCTTTTTGGTTGAAATCAGATTGGAGAGAAATTTTCATTGTAGTCTCTGAAAAGAATTCAACCCCCACTTCCATTGTGGAGCCTGGGGCAGACTATTGACGATGTACTGGCTCAGGGACACATAACGTGGTGTTACTTCAGTATGGGGTTTTTTTTTATATTTAATATTTTTCAGTATGAATCACAGGTGAAATTTCCATGCCATGTGTAAACAATTTGACTTTTTTATTGAAACAGTGAATTCAGGAATGTCATATTGGGCTATCAGCCATTTTGCTTTTATCAATGTATGGAAAAAATGCTTTTATATTAATACAAGAAATGATGTCATTTAATATGGAGTGGAGCTTATAATTCAAGGTCAGCAAATCTCAGGAGGTGATTTAGGTCACCACGTGAGCTTTGAAAAAAAGGAAAAGAATATTTTCCTTCTGTCTTCTCAAGTATTTTTATGAATTTTCCCCTCAGACTTTGGATTAGATGGTAGAGTAATATGGTTGTGAAAAGGCCACTCTGGATGATAATGACTTTGTCATTGAAAAATGTGGCCATAGAGATTTTCCTTCCCTTTTTGGCCTTCAGTTTCCCCATCTGCAAAAGGAAAGGATCAGCCTAAATAATATTCAAGATAGCTTTTTGCTTTAGCTTTCTGTGTTTCTACCTACTAGATTTGGGGGTTTTCCTTACAACGTTTCATGCAATATTACCCAGAAAACTCAACTTGAGAACTAGATATAAATAAAACTTCTGTTTTTTTTCGGAGAAAAAAACTTTCATTTTTTTATTGGTTAGTCTTATTTTTTAAGAGAGGAAAATACTTAAAAGTTCTGCTTGGCTACTTTTAAATTTAGGTACTGGAAAAGCAAAATACCTGATCACCCTTTGCATTTATACACCAGCATTCAGTTTACTGAGGCCTCTCTTTGTTTATTTTCTGTTGTTTGAAAGTTCATTTCTGTAGGGCTGTGTTGTACACTTTCTGTGTATTGGATATTATGCATGTAAGCGTGTGTGTGACTGTACACATAATGTCTTACTCACTTCTCTGCTGGCCAGTTAAGGAAGCAAATGATATTTAGAGATAAAGTGAGAGGAGACAAGGAACAGACAGATGAAAACCATTCAGCAAGTTACCCAAGGTATGTAGAAAGACACTCATTTCAGAAACTTGACCTCTATCAGAAAGAAGTTAAACGAAAGGCAGATATAGCTCACAAACCAATAGTTTTCTCATACTGGCTCTAGACTTTTGTGCTCTGGTTCTCAACAAAGAGAAAATTTGGATACAGGGGTATTACAGAGCACAGCCTCTGTCAAACATAGCCTGCGATTTATTTGTTTAGTGAGTGACTGAGCACTAGCACTGTGTCAGACGTGGTTGGGAGTCAGAGGTGAATACAGCATGACCCTTACCCTTGCTCATACAAAAGGAAGCGTCAGTGAAGGAATGCCTGAATGCCCAGAGTACATGATACCAGGCTTCAGTATCTGAAGTGAAATACTGATTTTATGGTCTAAGTCCTTGGAGTTGATGTAAGCAAACCCTGTGGGGGGTTTTAAAATCTCCTGTCCCCATAGTTGGTCACTCACATCTTTCCCAAATTGACAGGGAAAGGGAGGCAGGAAATAAAGAGGCTGCTTTTATTTTTATTTTTTTTTCCATCATCAAAAATCTTTTTTTTTTAATAAATTTTATTTTTATATTCCCCATACAATTGCAACCCCCCCATTCTGATCCCAATCCCTCCCCCCCCGCCCCTCACCCCCCCAAAAGTGTCTCTGTTTCATAGTTTTTTGTTGATTCTGATTTTCACTTTCTTATAGTTATTCATTTTCCTGGTCCCTTATTTAAGTTTTCTAGATTCCTGCTATGAGTGAGACCATCCGGTATTTTTCTTTTTCTTTCTGGCTTATTTCACTGAGCATGATCCCTTCCAGCGCCATCCATGTTGCTGCAAATTGCATGTGTTTATCTTTTTTGAATGCTGAGTAATATTCCATGGTGTATATGTACCACATCTTCTTGATCCAGTCATCTATTTTTGGGCATTTGGGTTGTTTCCAAAGCTTAGCTATTGTAAATAGTGCTGCTATAAACATAGGGGTGCTGGTGTTCTTTGGAATTGATGTTTCTGTGTCCTTTGGGTAAATACCTAGGAGTGGAATTGCTGGATCATATGGAAGCTCTATGTTTAGTAGGTCCAGAAATCTCCACACAGCTCTCCATAGTGGTTGGGCCAGTTTGCACTCCCACCAACAGTGCAGAAGAGTTCCTTTTTTTCCACACCCTCGCCAACATTTGTTGTTGCTAGTTTTTTTAATATGTGCCATTCTCACTGGTGTAAGATGGTATCTCATGGTAGTTTTGATTTGCATTTCCCTGATTACAAGTGATGTTGAACATTTTTTCATATGCCTGTTGGCCATTTGCATTTCTTCTTCAGAGAAGTTTCTTTTAAGAGGCTGCTTTTAAATATCCTCAAAGTGTGGCTGATGATATGGGGATCATACATTCACTTTTTGTTAAAAAAAATTGAGAGTTAAATTATTGAGAGTTAAATTAAAAAACAAAAACAAATGAAACACTTGTTTAATGGATATTTCATAAGCATCTGCCAGAATTTCTTTTAATTCTGTTTTCCACTTTTGCAGCTAAGATACCAACATGGACTAGGGACTCCAGACTTGAGGCAAACCCTTCCGAACCTGAAAAACTTCATGGAACATGGACTAATGGTCAGGTGGTAAGTAACTTTATCTCTGATAACCAGAAACTATAATGTAGGTAGTGATCCTGAGAAACTTGTGCTGACTTCCTCATTGCTCCACATCTGCCTTCAGGGTTTCTACTGTAGGACGATCTGAAGAGAAGAAAGGGCAGCCACCATACTTGTGTAGGTGTAAGCCCCAGCCTGGCAAAGATGGGTGAAGCACCCTTGAACAGAGGGTGGGTTTGAACAGCAGGTAGTTCATGGGGCAAGAATCCTTGTGGGATTGCTGAGGCAGAGACGGGAGTCCAGCCAGTGTGATTCACGAAAGGGAGACGTGGGGAGCCCCGAGGTCTTTTCCAAAGAGCAAGTGGAGGATATAACTATGGAAGGAGCAAAAGAACATTTGCCGCTGAGAGTTAAGGGAAGGACCCACATAAGGAATAGATCAGTTTGTCAGGACCTAGTCTGAGATCAGGAGGCACATACTGGAATTTTCTTATATTGGCTATGAGTGTCTGTTGTACCATATGGGCAGGCTGCTACTTAAAAATGCTTTGTTGGTATAGATGAGACCATTTTAAAAAGGAGGGGGAAAGGAAGTGTCTTGACTTTACTTGACTTAAATCAATGGAAAGCTATTGGCTCTAGCCCCTTAATAGTTCTTAAAGTTTGAATCCTTGGGTAATGAACAGAAACTTTCAAAACATTGCAACTGAAAATCAAACCTTAAGAGCTGGATAGCTGAAAATCACATAGTTTCATGTAAAGAGCACTGGCTTCAGATCCTGTATCTCTTTCTAACCTCCTGTGTAAACTTAAAGCCCTACCTCTCAGAAACTTAATTTCTCATCTGTAATCCCTGCTCAGTTGCGGTGACGATGAAACGAGATAGTAGACAAAAGCACTGTTTTGGGAAAGAAGGTACAAGATTGGATTAATTTTCTTCTGTGATGAAAAGATAGACCTCGGGGATAATAAAAAGTGATGTCTATGCTTGAGCTTTATTTTGATGTTTTTTAAATTTTTGTCTTACATGATCTTCAAAATACAAGTTCCAGATGTCTGATTGTAGATAGGACTCCCGTTTAAGCAAATACACAATTGTTTCAAACATTCTACTCAGAATATCAAGAAAATTATAAAAGCTTATAAAAGATATGGGACCTTGAGAGCTGAGAAATTAGGAATAGGCATTGAGTTTTTATGCAAAATAATAAGTACACTAACAGACATTTATTTAGCAGTTTTTATGTATTGTTCTGTGATAGTTATTCTGGAGCATAATAAAAACTATATGACTCAAGCCCTACCTTTGAAGGATTTGTGATCTAGCCAGAAACAATAATCTAAAATAATATAGAAAAAGAAAAAGAAAGGTAGGCAAGCTATGGAACTACTTGATTAACAACTAAATGAATCTTGCTCAGTTAATGACAGATTGTCTCGTTATCATTAATTGAAGAGTCTGTCCTTTGTCTGCTGTTTGATAATGCCATATCTTTCATATACCAAGTTCACTTTTATACACATTGATCTTTTTCCAGGATCCCTATTCTGCTCCATTGTTTTATTTGTCTGTCCTTAGGCTAGCATCACAATTTTAATCATTGTAAAATGTAATTTCTATACATCTTGTTGAGGTTTGAGGATGTCCAATAAAGCATCCCTTTTCCCTCTGACATTTGGAATCATTTGAGAGGAGAATACAGGAGACAGACTAATAGAAATCAAAATGTCAGTTTTATTACTGATAAAACCTCTTGGAAAATGTGGCTTTAGATCTGTAATAAAAACAGCCTGCAAAGATGTCATTCAAAATTAAACTTACCCTCACAGTCACATTATGAATTGGAGAACCCCAGGCTTTCCCCACAGAGGCAGGCCCTTACGTAGGCTGGAGAGAGTGGTCTGATAAGTCCTACAGGAACCCAGGTGGGGCTAAGCCACAAAAATCCGGGTTTTGCTTTCCCCTCTAAGTCTACCAATTAGAAAAGATCTTCCTCCTCTAAGAGACAGTGAATAAGAGGATGAAGAGAGGCCAGGAGTATTACCCCCAAATCATGTTCCTTCATAGGGAGGGAAAATGAAGAGCCTTCAACTTCATTGCTATCTGGTAGGGTGAGGCTTCTACTTCATGGTTCCTCCTCAGAACTTGGCTTCTCTTGACTTATGAATCGTATTTAAGTGATTTGACATCTTTATGATATTGTGTCTTCCTAACTCTGCATACAGTATCTCTTTATATATGTTTTCTTTATCTTTTTTAAACATATCTCAGTAAAGTTTTAAATTTTCTTCATAAAGGTCTTTTGTATCTTTTACTAGATATATAGCCCTAGTTACTGCTTTGGATTCTTATTGTAAGCTTTTTATTACAATATTCAACTTTTTTTTGTGACTCATATATAAAAATACCACTGATTTTTATACTTTGAGGACATGTTCCTTAAAATGTTTGGCAACCTTACTAACATTAATTACAACAGTTTGTCTTAGATTCTCTTGGATTTTCTGTGAGAGTGATTTTGTTCTTAGTGAGTGATGGAATTTTGTCTTTTTATTTTTATTACATTTTCCTGTCTCGTGTCTTATTATGGGAGTGGATATCCCTATCTTATTCCTGATCCTAAAGAGAATGTTCCTAACTTTTCACCATTAAGTATTTATTAAAGTTTTGGATAGATATCCTTTATCAGCAAAAAGAAGTTTCTTGCTATCCCCAGCTTGCTAAATTTGTCTTTTTAATCGTGTATGTGTGTATTCATCAAATTCTCATTCTAAATCTATTGATAACTTTATATTTGTTATCCTTTATATGTTAGTTTGTTAATAAGTAATACATTTTCTAATGTTAAATCATCTTTGCCTCCTGGAATAAACTCTAGTCGTGATGTATTATTTTTTTCCCTATATTATTGGTTTCAATTTGCTGATCTTTTTAGAAAATCCACATCTGTGAACTAGGATGAAACTAGCCTATAATCTTTCTCTCATAATAATCCTGTTCTGATTTTGGTAACAAGGTTATAACACCGTCATAAAATAAATTAAGGCTCTTTCTCTTTTCTCTGTAACCATTTTTAAGAGATAGGAATCATCTCTATGTTGATTGAAGGTCTAATAGAACTCAGCAAAGACCTAGTATTTTTACTTGTGTGTATTGAAATTCCTTTAATCCTTTTAGTGCATACTGAACTCTGTTGCCAGATCCAAAGGTCGTTTTTTTGTTCTTCTGTTCTTCATCTCAGTGGCATTTGGTCTTGCTGACCTTTACTACCTGTTTGAAACATTCTCCTTTCGTGACTTCCAGAAGACTACCCTCCCCCAGTTTTTCTCCTTTCAGCTATTTATCCTTTTTTCATATTTCTCTTCCTTTTTTTTTGATCATTAAATATGGAGTTCTCTCTCACCCCATCTCAGGTCCTCCTCTTTTTTCCTCTCTCTACTCTCTTTCCATTGATCTCATCCCTTCTCGCAGTTTCGAAAGCCATCTATGTGCTTACGACTCCCAAAGTTATAATTTCAGCATAAACTCCCTTGTATACTCTGTGGCCAGTGAGCTGTGGACACCTCACCCTGGAGGGGCACAGGCATCTCAGCCACAGTGTCTCTGAAACTGTCCTTCCTCTCACTGCCTTCCTTTCAGCAGATGGTACCATATGTCCCCAGGTGCTCTATCCAGTCAGTCATCCAGGAGAGGTCTGCCGCACCGGATGTGGGTTAGCTCCCTGGCCGGGGATCGAACTCAGGCCTTTGTGGTGGTAGTCCTGAGACGTAACCTCCCGGCCACAAGGGAGGCCCCTGATAGTACTGCTGACTTCACTCTTGTTGTACCTCTGTTCATTCTCCTTGTGACATTGTGACATTGACATTGACATTTTAAAATTTAGCTCTCTCTTAACCATTTCCTAGCTTCAGTGGCCAGAATAAAATCCAAGCTCTTTTCTGTGGTCTCCCTGACCCCCACCTCTGCCCACTGCACTAACACTGATCTGCTCTCCTTTCATGTGCATTCACTCCACTGGCTTCCTCTTAGTTACCTCAACAAGTTCTTTTGTGACTCAGGTCCTCAGTACTCACTGTTCCTCTGTCTAGAATGTGCTCTCCCTCTTCCTTCGCTCTTACTACCATCCTCATATAGAAAGAACAGGTGTTGTTGTTATATTTCTTTTTTTGGTCTATTTTATTTATTTTTTTCTCCAACCACTATCCCTTATATCCTCTTGTTGCTTTCCCTTACCACTCTCTTTTAACCTTTAAGCCCTCCTGATGCTTATTATTTATTATTTTTACAATTATTTTACCCGTTCAAATCATCTCCTGTGTCAATGTCCAATATTTGTTGTCATTGTCCTGACTTGCTCCAGTACACATCATTGTCTCAAATTTCTTCCATTTTGCTGAAAACAGCTGCATTTCATCTTTCCTTTTGCCTGAGTAGTATTCCATCGTGTGAATATTCCACATCTTGATCCAATAATCTGTTGGTGGGCATTTAGGCCACTTCCATGTCCAGGCTACCGTATGTAATGCTGCCGTGACATTGTAGGATATGTTTTTTGTGTTGCTGTCTCTTCCCCACACTGCGCCCCTCCCTCAGGCTCCAGTTATCTACTGAGAGCCTATGGCTCAAACCAGTAGTCCTTGCTCTGCTCTCACAGCTCTCTTATAGTGCACCCTCTGTCCTGGGCACCAGCTCTGCAAGCTACCCTGTCCGGCCCAGTGCAAGATCTCAGGGAGTCACAGTGTCAGCAATAGTGGGGGCCTCCACACAGCAGCCTCCTATCCTCTCCTGGGTTATACTACTCATAGTTGACTCAGTTTTTCACAGCCCTTTCCTCTGGACTGGGAGCCTGGTGTGTACGGTCCTCACCTATTTTTCCTTCAGGGCGTTTTGGCTTTGTCTGCTGTCATCCAGTTGTGGGTGGATGGAGGAGGGGAGCCTGGTGTCTTCACACTGGCGCCAACTTGCCAGTCTCCTTGAGGAAACAGTTTAAGAAAAGACACAGCAGCTTCACTGACAAAGTATTGAC